GTGGAAGCCTCTGAGTTAAGAGTTCTAGGTAACATAATTTTCATAAATAACCTCAAAATTCTTATAAATGATGATACGATTTGAAATGATTAGTCTACCTCTCTGGTCTAAAATTCTCTTAAAATATTATGAATATTTACAGGATACGTTAAACGATTAAAAAAATGATACAATGCAATAAAAAAATTAGAACAATATTACTATATGCCAAGGCACTTTTTTATTAATTTTTTTTTGAAGCAATGTTTGTACTTTTTCATTTTGGCCAGATGTAAAGTTTGCACCATCATGCCTGGTTTCATTCGATGAATTTATATTTAATTTAAGTTTCTTTAAAATACAATTAATTATGCTTTCAGCCAGTAGCGTACGCAGGAATTTGGTGTGGGGGGGGGGGGGGATAATTAAAATTTTTTTAAATAAAATTATTGTTATTTAAAAATATCAAGCATAAATTTATTAGGACTAATAACTATTTCTAATATACAAATTTAAATTAATATGAATTATAAAAAATTAAATATATAAACCGATATATAAAAATAAATTTGATTTAAAAAATATTAAACGGATATAACCGGCGGCATATAAATACTTTAAATAAATCTGAATTATAAAATATTAAGTGGATATAACCAGGATATGATGACTATAATAATCCATAATATATATTTAAATTTATTTGAGCTTTTAAAATTTATATATAAAGTATAAAAAATCGAAATGTTGGAAATATGAATAATTATATTTTTTATGTAAAAGAAAAATATATAAGACATTAAAAAATGATAGCACAAAATATATTATAGAAACATTATATTTTTATAATGTAAAATCCAATCTTCGTTGGGAGTGAGCTAATTTTTCAATTATCTCATCCGTGTTTGGCGTCAAATGCCTATGAATTATCAAAAGGGCCAGACCATTCAACCTACTTTCAGAAGTTGTACTTCTTAGGTACGTTTTTAATCTTCTTAAAGAAGAGAATGTTCTCTCATTAGTTGCAGTACTAATGGGAAGAGTTGCTAATATATATAATAATTTCAATATATTGGGAAAATAATCTAAAAGATGTTTGAAATGATGCAAAGCATCCATAGCATTTTTTGGGACTATATCAACCATAGTTAATCTTTTATACCATAGTTGGCATTCAGCTAATAAAGCATTATGAGATACATTAATGTCTTCATGATAAAAATCTTCCAAATATTTTATTTTTTTTCTATCACCATCTGAAAAAGGTTCAGAGGGCTTTTGGAAGTAATATCTGCAGATTGATAAGTGCTTCTTGATGTATTAAAAACCTTTCATTTACTTGGGTTATAAATGCATCCAAAGGAGGTATAAAGACATTTATTTTATAATATTCTTCTATTGACCCTATATTAATATAGGGACGATAAGTTTGCCTTAATGCAAGTCGAGGGAGACAAATATTGAACTCGTATAGCTCTGCTTTTGATTCAACATTAACATATAAAATATGAAATTCCTCATCAGCATTAGCTCTAATTTCTTTGAGTTCTAATAAAATTGTCTCTGCTATTCTCATCATCTCAATCAAATCAATATCAGGTTTTTGAAAAGTATTACATAAAATAGTTGTATAATTAAATAATTTATTAATACATCTAATGCGAAAAAAAAATTTGGTATAAGTATTGAATCCAGTAACTTGCTTGCTTCTGAAGAAATATCTCTTTCAGACCATTGTGATATTTCTGTAAGAGCATTAATAATCGGCTCTTCTAACTCGATAAAAGCTGTTACTGCTTGATGTCGAAGACTCCATCTTGTTGGACAAGCTTTTTGCAATTTTTTTCTCCTTGTTGGGCAAGGAGTTTCAGATATAATTCTGTTCAAAATATTTTGACGCTTGGGGTATCTAAACATCTCATGGATGCTAGATATTTTACCTGATATAAATATAAAAAATTTAATTTTAATAATTAAAAACCTAAGCAATTTGATATCAATGGTAAAGAACATGAATCCGATATTGCTAAGTTGAGTGAATGGGCAGCACAGTGGACATATATAGCTGTTGGGCATTTTTTTTAATAAATGCCTGAAGCCCATTGAATTGTCCACTCATTGCACGTGCTCCATCATACCCTTGCCCACGTATCATATTTATATTTAGCTATATTTTTGAAAATAATTATATAATAAGATTAATTATTACTTTTAATTTTTTAAGATTCACAAATATTACATCAGCTAAAGCAGACCCAGTCATGCTTGAAACAGGAATAAATTGGAGAAACATTTCCTTGATAATGTTGTTTTTATGAGTATCTACATATCGCGCACACAACGACATCTGCTCAATGCCAGCAATGTCCGTGGTCTCATCTGCCAAAATTGAGAAGCATGGGGCAGAATTGATTTCAACAATCAATTTTTCTAAAATGATATTGTTGCAAATATCAATTATCTCATTTTGTATCCTAGGGCTGAGATAAGTAGCATTTTTATTGGTACTAATGAGGCTCTCCATTAATACAGGATCTCCTAATGCTTTAAATTTTATAAGTCCACGGAAATTACCTTCGTTATCATTATTATTAAAATTTAAGCTTCCTGAATCCTTGTGGCCACGAAGTGCTAGGCCTTGCAAGCCACAATATAAAATAGCCTCAATAGTTAGTTTTATCTTGCCTCTATTTTCTTTTGCAATTTTAACCCTATTTTTATCAATTATTGATGAAATGGGAATCATATCCCCCTTTTGAATTGATTCTTTTGAGGAAATCATCAGTTCACAGCTTTTGTTTATTAAATTATTATACTATACTTTTTTTCTTTTTGGCATAATTTTCACCTTCAGCGTTTTTTAAAAAAAGTCTAATATCCATGACTAGAAATTTGAAAATTATAATACCGGGAAATTTATAAATAATAGATAAATATTACGCCACAAGGAAAACTTGAAAATGAAATTAATTGATAAAGTAAATTAGTAAATGAAAAAGGTAATAATATAAAAATTTAAAAAGAAATAGATATGAATAATTATAATAAAATATAAAAATATAAAAAATAATATTTTTGAAAAATATGTCCGGCATCTGCATTTTGGCTTTGGGGGGCGGGGGGGGGGTCCGCTGCGTACGCCAATGCTTTCAGCAAAAAGATATTGTAAATTAATAATTCCTATTAAATTTTATTTCATATCTCCACAAAAAATATAACGAATATTTATACTCAGGTTTAACCTGGTACATCTTTTGTCTCATCAACCTTAAGACAAATAAAGGCATCTCACTTTTGATATTTTTCTGATATATATTCCAGCACCATATCTGCCATAATAGTTATTAATTTGTTTCTAATTTGGTTGATGTATATTGTGCATTTTTGGGTATTAATTTAATAATTTTATTTAATTCAGGATCCTTTTGGATGATGTATGAAAATAGCTAATAAATTATGTTTTCATCTTTTGCAGCAACCGTAATTTTATTGAACCATCCCCATGAAAAGATAGCTCTTGTATGCTAAAAAAAATAGCATTAAATTAAATATTGATTTAAGATATTAACGATTATGGTTAATTTGTTGGCTTACCAAATTGTTGTTATCTCAGTATCCTTATTTATATTAAGATTTTTATCACGCAATATTGTTATTGAATATAAATGAGCTTTTTAGCTTTCATGTTATAGCAGTCCCACTTTTGTCAATATTCATCTCTTGAGTCTTGAGCGACCATTGAGTGAATGGATATTTTATAAATAATATTTTTATAATAAATAATATTTTTCTAGAAATTTTTTTATATTCTCATTTAGATTTAGTTGTTTTGTGATTAAAATTTAATAACTAATAATTTTTTTAAATTGGTAGTCGGAAAAATTTAGGCGACCACTTTTTGGGGCTAAAAAATTTTAGAGGGGCCAGGTTTGGGGGTCCAGAAATTTGGGGGGGGGGACCTGTGCCTACAGCTCTCTACCGATGACATAACATGAAATTCTTATGATCAATATTTAATTCAGTGAAATAAATTTATCTAATTTATAATATTAGAAGAGGTTTTCTTTCTTCAATGCTAGGTAGGAATTATTGACCTTCAAATGATATAAAATTTCTTTATTTTTTATTTATTATTATACGTGATAAATAATTTCTAATTCACGATTTTCAATTAAATCGTAATAGTAGATTAAACTCGCTTAAACTGAATTGGATCATGATATTATGAAGACAAATAGTAGTATATATATAATATAATATTCATATTAATGATTTGATAAACATCTAGTTATAAACTTGATCTTTTATGTAATGTATATATTATAAGTGAAGTCTCTATATTATATAAATTTTCTTTATAAATTATTTATATATCTTTTCTATCTTAACATTTTCTAATTGTTAATCAATTTTCAGAAAATAAAATGTTATGACGTCAATATTAATTATTAATTTGCGATATCTTTTTAATACTATATTAAATTTTCCTTGAATCCGCCCGTCTATAAAATCAACAACAAATTTTGTGATCATTTAATTCTTATTTTATTTATTTTATATTAAATAGCATCAATCATGATGGGTTTGCCATCTATGGGCATGGGCAACAATCACTAAAAAACAGTGCAAACCTATGAATTAACCTAACCTCTGACATTTTTATGACGTAATTACATCGTACCATCTTGTTTGAAGGTCCTGACCATACTTATCTTAAGCCTAACATAATAAGCCAATTATATATTTATTTTTAAAATTAAATGGGGTCAAACTAATCAATCGAATAGAAAAGAATTAATTAATTATTTATGTGGAAAATGTTTTCAACTTATATTCAGAGAATGATTAATAATTAATAGGGTTTATACATTCGATAATATAGTTAGTTATAATAAATAAGGTAATTAGTCATAATCTTCTAGTGCTAATTCCTATTTTTTTTATTGATGATCATTGAATTAAATATGACGAAATTTTTTCTATATATTTTCTTTGGATTGCTAAGATGTTTTACTATATAAGAACATTCCTTTCACATTATTTTTGTAAAAAAAAAATTCTAAAGGTTATATAGGTAAATCACGAATATAATTTTTTTCTTTTTAGAACTCACATCTTAAAAATAATTTACATATTTAAAAAATATTATTACATATTTTGATTTGCACATTTGGGGACTGAGGTAAATCTCGATTAAAATGTTAATATAGATTTTGCTGGAGATTCATTCTATAAAATTTGATTTTCTTTTAAAAAATTAATAATATAAGTAAAATAATTTTCATTTTACCGATATAAAATTATAAGAAAATTTTGATGAAATTTATAAATATGCGAAAAAAAGTCACACACTTTTTTAAAATATAGTTAATTGATAAAAGCTTTTGCCACTCAACAATGCCACTGGATTGAGTAATTTTATTAGAAGAACAGGCTTTGATGTTATTATATATTTTACAAAAACCTTTATAAATTTTTTTTATTTAAATCATTGACTTATCCTTCTATAGTTGTTCCAGCTTTCCTTTTATCGACTTTCTTGATATGAGTCCTTCGTTCTATTTATTTAACTTTTATAAATCCTCATAAACCTAATTGCACTTTTATATAATTTCATATCTTTCAAAGATGAAGCGACACGTTTAGTATTAGGAAATAAATTTTGGAAATAACATTTTTTTTTATTAATTGACTAGTAAAAGGCTCAATATCAAAATTTTAACCAAAATATTGTTGCCTATGCCTCAAATTTTGCTTATAAATGTAACCACTTTGCTGCCCTTTGTAGGCAATATCTCAAAGCGTGAGTAATTTACTTTTGGCTAAAATCTTAAGTTAGTCTTAAAAAATAGGCTACTTCGAGCTGTTTAATAATACTAAGTTGAACGATACAAAATAGTAATATTTATGTTTTTACTTTTTTGTATAAAATGCTCAATTAATACAAAATTATCATTGAATAAATTTTTAAAATTTTAAATTGAAATTAATAAATTTGAAAATCTAATCTGATTCGTTTTATTTCTACAAATATTTTTCTTACATATGAAAATTACGCTCTGAACTTACAGTTGTGAAAGCCAAGGACTGGGGGGGGGGGGGAGGAAATTTTTCTCCCATTGCAAATTTGCCTGTTCACTCGTAAATATCATTTTAAGATTTTTAAAATAATGACTAGAATCAAAATTTCTAGAAAGAAAGCATTTTTATAAAAAAAAATAAGTGAAACCCAAAAATTATTGTTATAAAATATAATACAGCCAAAGGCCTACAATAAGTAGACCTAAAGACCTCCAAAAAAATTTGACGGAGAAGCTAGCCTAATAGTCCGCAGGCAAACCTGGATACGGCTATGGTTGGAACCAATATCAGGATAGATTTTAAATAATTTGAAAAGTTCTTTAAAACTTATTACGATAATTTTATTTATAATCTTTTTATTTTATGAATCTCACATCCCTGATTACTATCTTTCGTTTTGATTTTTATATGCATAAGTCAAAAAATCTTAGATATAAATTTTCCAACAAATTTTGGTAGAAATTCTGAGTAAATGATGGAGATTCCCCAATATCAATTGACTATTTAATAGGGGTTTTTTATAATAACAAATCAAAAATATAATTTATTTTAAAAAATCATCCACTATTTTTACCATTGCTGGTGATTAGCTCATTTATTTTTTGTTTCCATTTAGCAGGATCAATCATTTATACATAGACAGTTATCAATATCTATATTGATAACGTGCTGCCATTTCCATTTTTATATAAATTTTCACACTTTTCCAACTTATTAATTAGCTGGTTTTCTATTCATATGTACATACCAGCTCAGTTTGCAAAAATCCTTGTCCATCGAGACCACTTTCCCCAATATTCCAGTTTTACGATAATGTGTTTTGCGGCTCATATTATCTATCTTCCTTGATATCATTATTGTCATTATATTATAGCCATACTTTATTGCTCTCCGTTCTTTGACTCCCACTTCTTTATAAAACTTTAAAAACTTATTATTATATTTTTTCACGAGTTCAATAAGAAATTTTATACATGTTTCCCCATAAATAATTTCAGTTATAAATCATGTTTTTTTATAATATTGATATTATAATTCCCATTTAATAAATTTATAATATGTCCCCAAAAATTTTTCTTCTACAAATTCACGACATTTGGACATTCCTGTTATACATAATAATATGATTAGAGAATTTAAGGCTTATCTTATTTGCTTTTGGACAGGTTTAAAATTTAAAATACTTAACGTTTTAAAATTGTTATTGTGTTTTTAAAATTTTTAGCTGACCCTCCAGCATGGAATATATTCAAATTCTCAAATTTGGCTAGCTAAAAAATTATTAATAAATTTAATTGCTTCTCAGGCTGATCCCGATTCATCGAAATTCTAACGGTCAAATAGAATTTTTAGCAAATTTTTAACTTAAAATTATTTATGGCTCTCGTTTTTTAATCTTGAAAGATTTGATTTCCTAAATCATATTTCAACATATATACATGTGCTAATGTGGTTAATACATTAATATATAATTAATTGTAATAGATATTTTATATAAATAAAATATTAAGAAAAATTATAATAAAATTGTCAGTAGGGAAGACTCGGGTTAGTAGAACCAATTTTTACAAAATTGGCTATAGCTCCTGGTTTTTTTTAGATAATATAAAAAATAATATATGATTAGAGACCTAAAACTATACTCTATAAAGGTGGTTTATAAAAAATTTTAAAAATATAATCATTTTTTTAAAATTTTATATTTTGTAAAAGTGAAAATTTTGTCCAACAAGCCCGATAGCGGTGTAAGGCAATCCACTTTATGGGGCTTCCTAAACCATTAATTTTTTTAGGTCATAATAAATTGAAATGCATTTTTATTTATTAATAATGATACGTATAGAATAATTTTATTGTTCTATTGTTTAAAATGTCATAATACTTATAAATTGTAGCTAATTATATATAAAAATTGAAACTTAATTTTGGTTAATTTAAATAAGGATCTCAAGGTGAGATTATGATTTCTTAGCATAAATCCTAAATACCACTCATAAAACAGCCATGAAATTGCCTCTTCAAGATTTTGAAATTGTTTTCATTATTTAACTGCATAATTGACATGTATGGTTTAGATCCGCTAGCTCTAAATTGACAAATTATGATTAAAATGATATATAGATATAATAAATACTTATAAAACTTTCCCAAATTATAGAGGGTTTAAACTTTGCTATGAAATTTAATTTACATATAAATTATTATATATTTTAATAAAAATTAAAATTCTGTCAAGTAAAAATCTTTTGAAAATTTTATCAAAATTATATTTCTTAAATAAAATTTTAATAATTAAATATATCAAAAGATTTTTTTATAGATATAAACTAATAAAAACTATATTAGGTTAAAATTTTAACCTTCTGGTGTATTTAATTTTAGAATGAGATTAAGTGGTATGCCAAGCCCCGGGGTTTACCTAACCCCAGTCTCCCCTACATTCAAAATTATAATAAGTTTTCAAAATTTGTTTATGAATCTGAGTAAATGAAACATGGCGCTGAATTTTCTAAACCCTACTACATATAGACCGGTTTTTTATTTTGAAGTGATTATGGAAAAATAAATAAATCTAGACTCTTTATAAATAATAATTCAAAAAATATAATAAAGATCGAAATTTGTTTTAAAATATGATAATGTATACACAAAATTTGTATAATATGGTACAAGCCATTTTATATTATCTGTCGTTCATAACTGTTTATAGGCATCCGCTAGATAGCGGCAAATACCTGTTCAACAGGATAAAATTTATTTGATAGAAAACATAATTCTCTATTAGAGAAAAACATTTTTGAGACCGATTAAATAAAAAACTAAATAAATTTTTTAGCAAGTCTCTACTGTAGCTTTAGAATTATATAAAACATTATAAAAATTTTGTTTGCTAGAGAAATGTTAAAATAATCACTAGTTAAAAAGTATATCATCCTGAACCTTTAAAATTCATAAAGAATATATTTTATTCTATATTATAAAATAAAAGTGACTATGCAACTATTGGTGAAGGAAATAATAGAACACATAAATTGTTAATTTTTTAAAAAAAATTCATATTAGGAGGATGACTAAAACAATTAAAACAAATTAAGAATCGATTTTTACTATTTTTCTTCTTTTTCTCAAATAAGATTTTTCCAATCTTCCAAAACAGTCTAAAAATTTTATTTTAATATAATACATAATTAATGAATAGGGATCAAACCTCATTTCAAAAATATTTTTTATTTTTTTAATTAATAAAAGTATGATTAAAATGATATTTTAACAAAATTTAATCAATACTGCTAAGTAGTATAATTTTTTTTTAAATTTATTAATTATATAATTTAATTAATTTTTGTCGAAAATATTCAACAAAATTCAAATTTTCTTTCCTTTTCAATTTAATTTTTTAAGATTTATATTCTCATTTTTTTAAAATTTTGTTAAGAATCTATAATATTAATGTTGAACCATATTCATAATCATGGGTAAATATATTCTATATTATGCTAAAAAATTTATAGAGTATTTAGATTGAAAGTAAGGAGTAACTCGTAGATTTATTCTAAAAAATAACGAATAACAACTCGTTTCCGTAAAGTATAACTATAAAAGTAATTACAGCCATTAAAAATACTCATTTTATGATTCTAAAATTCAAATTGAGTCAAATTTTGAAGTCACATTTTTTATTATTTTTATAATTTTAATTTTCATCTTAAGTTTTAATATACATTTAAAAAAAAAATCATATAATATTTTTAAAGGGAATCTGATTACAAATGATATTCTTTACATATCTTAATATAACTTTCATATCAACGGTAATGGCTCTGATCTTTCAACACGGATTCGCAAAAAGTATGTATGACCAAAATAACGGTAAAAATTTTTTAGATGTCGATGCAACAAAGCAAGAGATGAAACTTATACCACCTTTTTATAAAATATATATTAACAAAGTTAATAAACCCAGTGTAACAAATGAAATGGATATGGACGATGGGATAAATAATAAAGTGACCAGATATAACAAAAGATTACTACAAAACAATCATGAATATCCGATGGAAAATAGATTTAACTTTCGTCGAAAAATGAAAATAGAATATTTGTTCCCTAATATAGAAGATTTTAATAATCAGCTTGAGTTTCAAAACTATCATCCAACCTTGGAAGGTATATTAGGTGGTTATCAGTCTATCGATTATAACTCTAATAAATTTATAGATAACAACTCTTACGGATACCTATCTGATTACGATAAGGTACATCATATAGAACAGAAAAGTGCAGGGGTATAATTTTTAAGTCCAGCCCTAATTTTAAAATAAATTCCTCCATTTTGCAGCTCAGGCGGGATTTTTTTCTTAATTTTGGCTAGGCCCGAGTTCTAGGCCCAGCCCCGATTTTTAACATTTTAATCATTTTAAAATAATTTTGAATTTTATAGAAGCTGGGTGTAAATTATCCATCACGTGATTTATAAATTGGCATATTTATATATTTAAATTTATTTTTAAAACATTGGTTAGCTAGATTTAGACTTGGATCAGATTGTATTGTATTCTTGTATTTATTAAGGTTATTTTAAAAGATATTTTGGAGCCTGGAAGGTTTCTAATATGATTCATAAAGGATCAATTAGAATATTAGAAAATTTATCAGTTGAACTCCTTAGCCTATTTATAATGTAGGTACATCCGGGACAGAATAATCTTAAAGCATATAATATAGAAAGGTCATACAACGACCAACTTTATTATAAATAGGATCCTTAGTTGACGAGGTCTCTTTTAGGCTTAAATAAAATACATTTAAAAATTGAGCGCATATTTATAATTATTTATTAATGGTTACATTTTTCACTTAAACCTTAACGAAAAAGACTCCATCATTAAAAAATTATAGGGCATATGTTTCTACTGGTAAAATTATAATTCTTTTCCAACCTCAAAACAATTATTATAATCTCACTTTTATCTAAAACTTATTTTATGAAAAGGATTTCTTGTACGCTAAGCGATTCCTTGCTGGCAGCTATGGTGACCGGAATAACTGGAAAAGGTATATAAAGAGAATCCCTGAAAATTCTTTGAATGATAAACAAAATTTGTGGTCTTTTATGAGCCCAGTTAATACCATAATGGATTTGGGACAACTACCAATCGATTCTAGTAACATTCATAATGATAGAAACGACAACAGGGTCAAGGGGACTTGAAAAAAATATTTAAAAAGGTTTACAATTATAACAATATGCCCATATAATTGTCTCTATCATTTTTGCAGTTGTAGATTTTTTTTTATATCTAAAATTTAATTAATGTTTAAACATTCTTTTGTTAATATAATTTTATGTCAAAAAATCCTTTTGTTGTCATGTAAATATTGGCATATTTTATGGAACATCATTTTTTTTATATAAAGAAAATAATTTATAATTTTTGGTTCAATCCTTAATATATGTATATTTTTTTATAGCATTAAAATTTAACATAAATTGATACTTTTTTAGTAGTTAGGTGTATAAATAATACCGTTATACTTGTCAAAAATATTACCTCTCTAGAGAATCTTTAAAATTAATATGACATGTTTCGAAAAAATGGATCATATTTTAATTGTTATATTTTTTTTAAATTATAAACCTCTAATAATAAGTAATATAATATAATACCTATTTATTATATTGTGGTTTCCTTAAGACTGAATACGAGTAAAAATGTAGATAGTTCCTCACGTTTATGCCTTTCTAAAAAGTCATTTTTTGAAAGAAAAATCTATACAGACTATCAAATTTCATTTTAAACTACTATGTATATAAACAAAATTTTAATGAAGCTAGGAGTGAATTTATGTTAAATATAAAGTATATATAATATTAATGTTTCCAATGAATTTATTTCTAAATTTTGATTATCAAAATAAGTTGAGGCATAATAGTTTATCTTCATAAAACAGGGAAGGTGAAAAATAAAATTCAAATCAAAAATATTTTTAGTCACAAAAATTTCAAAAATGAAAATTATGCTTAATTTTAAGGATTTCCCTTCAGCAAGCCCCTGATTACTAAGTATTTTGAAAAAAGCACGTTATTCGATAAAGGATAAGATGTAACAATACATTTATCATTACTTAAAAATGCAACTGTTAAAGGTTTTTAATTTCATAATTACAATAAAATAATAAGTGAAAATGGGGAAAATTCGATAAAGATAATCAAAGTCATTGGGTAAAAGTCCATTTTAAAGTGTAATATATGAATAATTAGGGTTTATGTTATTTTTGGTGGAAATTAGAGAAGGGGAGATTGATATTAAAATACACCCAACAAGTTATTATAATATAAAAAAACTGTATTTTAGCAAAAACAAATTTATTAATATTTTTTTATTTTCTAATGGTTGGTAATATAATAGTTTTAATAAATTGGCTAAGATTTATAAAGCAATAAAAAAGGAACTTGATTTTAAGATACTCGTTAATTTAACTATTACAGAGCTCTTCGTTACATTTTCAAAATAATAAATACAGAAGCGTTAAATCTTAAAATGTGAGACTAATTATAGCATTTTTTTCAATCAATCCTGGATAGGAAAGGGGATGGTGTCAATACGCGCCCTCCTTTTCCTAAAAAAAATTGTCAAAAATTCCTTCTATTAAACCAATAGTCTCTATAATATTATATCGGCCTTTGTAAAAGTCTATTATTTTTAAATTATTAAAATGCAACGAAATATAACATTTTATGGTCTCTCTAAAATAAGGCAAATCAATTAGTGTGAAATATATTTAAAAGAATCAGTAAGTCAGAGATATCCTATAAAAGATAGAGATACTTTTGAAAATTAGGAGGAGATGCAAAGGAAAGAGAAATATAAATAATAAAGCAAAAATAAAGAAAATAAATTTTATAAAATAAGATTCATTTAAAAAAACTTATTAATTTCCAAATATTTACCCATTGGATCTATACAATCAATGATATACTAAATAATAATAAAAAAGTCTAATGATATTATATTATTCTGGATTTTATGCTATTGCCGGATGAAGCTAGAAACAAAAACATTAAATAAATTTGAATAAGCTATATGATAGTGATACTATAATAATATTTATGAATTCTTTATTACACTCCGGAAACTGGAATTCAATTTTTCTGCTAAAACAACAAATCTCTCTAATTTATCCTAAAAGAAGATCAAGCAATAACGTGATGAGAGGCTGGGGGTTTGATAACAATTTTTTTAGGGATTTTTATTTATTTATATCGTCGCCTGAGAATTAGAATATTCTATCTCCACTTTTTATAATTTTATAGGAGAGCAATTTTAAAAATTAAGTTTCTATAGTTTTATAATAGGATGGTTAACCTAGTATAAGATTTAATTTGAGTTATTTTTTCTATATTTCGAATTTTTTAATGTAAATAAAATGGTATAATTACAAAATTTTGGCTTATGTAAAAAAATCATTCTTGACAAAAAGTGGATATAAAATAACCTAATTCTCATGCCACGATATGTACATTTCAGATTCATAAAGTAATGAGTGACAATTTAAAGCACTTAAATTATTTCCAGTATTAAATGCCTATTAGGAAATTATTGTACTATGCACAAAATGACGCAAAATGTCTGCAAAATTAAACAGAAAACATGCAAAATATATTTACCTAAACCACCCAAAATATAGAAAAGCACTTAAAATAACGCAAATATGCATAAGGCACATAAAATATGCAAAAATTACGCAAATAAAAAAGCAGTCCAAATTTGAAACTACATGAAATTAGATTTAAGAAAGTATTAAATTGCCCAAAATCACACTTAATGCAAGCAAATTGACGCAAAAAGATATAAAAAACATTTTAAATTTTTTAGTAAAATAAGTTAAAATTGTTATTTTAAAAATATTTTAGTATATCGTTACAAGTAGTTGTTAAACTGTTCGATTTGAGTTGATTTTTAAAAGCAGCTTACTCAATATTTTCGCCAGAAAAATATTGACAAACCTAGAGATTTCATTATTAGATCAAAATTTTGTGCCATCTATGAGCAAAATCTTAGGCTTGTATAACATTTTTCTTTAAAATATTGAGTTAGCCGTTTTTAAAATCGGCTCAAAACGAGCCGTTTAACAAAATTACCTTTAGACATTGTTAATATATAAATTTTGAATAAACTTTATATTTTTTTCTTTTTAAATTAAATGACCTTTTCGTAAATTTTCTTTAACATAAAATATAAGGACGAACTTGTCGAAATTCTTTTTTTTTATATAACCTTTTAAAAAACTTATTATTTTTAATATGTAAAAATGTAAATTTAAAATGTATATATATAGAGCACAAAATGTTAAATATTTAAGTGTTAAAAGTGTTAATAAAATTTAATTTTTTAATTTTTATTGCCTTCCATAAAATTATTATGGTGGCAGAATACTTGATAATCATTACGCTACCAATTGAAATATGTATAAAAAAAATTTTAGACATGATTTTAGATACTGGAACATGGTGAAGCTAGAAGAAAGAGGATTATTGAAAATGATGTTAATTTAATTCTAAAACACGTAAGAGATGATTAAAATGTAAAATTAAAAATATATATGATAAAATTTTATTAATAAAATATTTAAAATATGAATAAACCTATATGGGACAATAAGAATAAAACAAAATCCATAGATGAATTAGAAGATTATTTAATATACCATGAGAGTAAAGATGTTTTGAGTTTAACATTTAATCTACCAGATGACTTATATTTGCTTATGGACACAATGTTACCGATATATGGAAGTTCAAGTTATGAAGAAGCAATATCTATATTAAAATGTTTTTGTAATTATAAAGAGGTAAAAGAGATAAATGGAAAATCTAGATCAAATAATATATCTTATCCTAATAAAAATTTTAAAAGTCAAAATAATAAAAACTTGAATGAAATTAAATTATGTAAATTAATACCAAATGTTAAAAAAGAAATAAATTCTTATAAATTAAATTAAATGAAGAAATAATAGTGATTAAAGACAATAATGAAATAAAAAAATTTGCAATTAATAAAAAATTTTAAAAAACTTTGGAAATAAAGAAAATTAGAACAAATATTAAAAAGAGAGGCAAGATGATTAAATATCTTGATGTTGAAAAAGCTTTTAAGAGTATGATATGGAGATCGTATGTTAAAAATGGAAGGAGAAAGAGAAATTTTTTATAAAGAACAAGTTGAAGATTAGGGGAGACCGGGGTAAAACGATAGGCATTTTGCATATTTACCATAAAAATTTTAAACAAGAGTCAAACACAACAAATTATAAATCAATGTGTAGCCTCATCCCTCATCTACAAGATAAAAAAAAGTGTAGCCCTCAACCTATAATATTTTAGGAGCTATGATTAGTTATGTCAAAGTACTCATTTTCATGGATAAGCACTGGGGTATAGTGGTTAAAATAATATTTGACATATATTATTGTTTTATTTAACAAATATTACAAATTTAAGATATATTTATGATTTTTATTTACAAACTAATCAATACAATAAGGACATGAAAAGTAATTATCATAATTAGCACATTTAGAATATTCAAGGCACATTGTCAATTCAAATATAAAATATGTAATTTAATTACTTGTTTAGGCGTTAATCCCATAAATGAGCTACTTGCTTCTAATATGTAGTCACACAATTTAGATTCTCTTCATTGTGTAAATATTTTTTATGATGATCTGAACTTTTAATACCATTATTAAATCTTCTTCTCAACTTTGTATAAGGTATGTTATATTTTTTAGCAGACAAATTCAATGATTATTTGTTATTTTATATTTTATGGCTTCATCTATTATACTTACATCTCTGAATATTGTTTTTTTTTATAATTTCTCATTATTTGATTGATACAATAAAAATTATAATAAATGAAAATTTAATGTGAATAATTATATATTTTAACCGTTTTACCCATAACAGCTTTACCCCAAGGTGACATATATTATAAAAACCGTTATTACGTGACTTCTAATATAGCTATAGATGTCAGATAAATTTTATTTTAGAGCTAATACATAAAGGAACATGTGTGCCAAATTTTGAATTCTGAGGATATGTATATTTTACTAAAAGCAAAATATACTAGAGAATGATTTTTATATTTTTTGGGTAAAAAACAGTTTTTTTGACAAAATATATAAAACCAGGGAAGTTTTTTAAAAGATGAACATAGGTAAGAAATTAGATATAAAAATACATCTTCACACCAAATTTAAAATCTTTGTGCTCAAGGGTTAAAAAGTTATTCGCGTTAACATTATTACCCCGTCAATAACTTTACCCCGGTCTCCCCTAATTATGATATAAAAAAATTGTTTAAATTGAAAAATAAAGGAGTAAGATTTAAAAATAATTAAATAATAAATAAATAAATTA